CCAATTCCCAATTCCCAGGATATCATCCATATATAAAAGAGGCGTGATTTCTATTGAGTTCCCATACATATATACCGGCGTACCATAATCCCTTTAGCCGAGTCACTTTACATTAACGAAGTGAAAAGTAACCCATCTATCAGCCGTTACCAGGTGACCCAAAATCATTCGTATTCGACCAATCACAAGAAATGAAAACATCAATCACCAATCCAATCGTTTGTTTGGAACGATAATCTGTAGCTGCAGGTGCCGGTGCCCGACGCAGCCGACCTGCCGGAACGTACCCTGGTACCAGAGCATATAAATCAACGTGATTTATTTGCTCTGCTGGTACGTACTATCTAATATGCCGGACCGTACCTCGCCTACTACACTAACTGGTCCAGGGAGTCGCCTACGTACACGCCTACTCCGTAACCATGTAAGATAGTTACCAGGGTACGTTTCGGTATACCGGACCGTACCAAGGGTACGTAATGTACTTGTAATGTATGCTAGCAAGCGTGGGCAGCAACCACTCCAAGCGACATATACATAATATCAGGAGTAGATAATAGAAGATCTTCTATTATCTACTCCTGATAATATATACCCGAGGGAGAGAGAGGAGAGAGCGAGCGAGGAGAGAGAGAGAGAAAGAGAGAAAGATCGCGCGTGCGCGAAAGCAATGCAGATTTCCACACGTTGTACATTTACATACAATTGTTTATTAATCTGACTAACCAATGTCATAATAATTATACAAATGACCAACAGCACATAAACAGTTTATGTGCTCTTGATATGATGAACTTTCTACTCAACTGAGAGAATAAACTGATATAATATCAGGAGTGAATAATAATATAGATCTATAATGCCGGACCGTACTTCGCTTACTCCACTAACGAGTCTATAGGGAGTCGCCTACGCCTACTCCCTAACCCGAACCCGAACCCTAACCCTAATCCTAACCATATCAAATAGTGACCAGGTTACGTTCCGGCAGAGGCGCCGGAAATGGGGGGGGGGCAGGGGGGGCGCCCCTCCAATCCAAAAAGAGGGGGGGCAAAACCAAAAAGAAGAGTGGGGAAAAAAATATAATGTATAAACTAAGACTTGTTAATTCTAACGTTCAAAAACTAATTTATACATCCATTTTGAGTTTTTCGCTGCGCTCTTTGCGTGATTGACGCTCACGTCGCACACACGCGCTCATGCACACACGCCGCACATACGCGCTCACGCACCCACGTCGCACACACGCGCACACGCACACACGCGCTCACGCACACGTCAGACACACGCGCTCACGCACACACGTCGCACACACGCGCCTCACGCACGACACATCGACACACACGCGATTCACGCACACACGCCGCCCTCCGCACCACACGTCGCACACATGCCTGCTCACGCACCCACACGTCGCCACACAACGCGCTCACGCACCACGCGTCGCACACACGCGCTACGCCAACACAGCGTCGCACACACGTGCTCACGCTACAGCATCGCACACACGCGCTCACGCCACACCACGTCCGCACACCCGCGACTCACGCACACACGCCGCCACATACGCGCTCACGCCACACACGTCCGCACACACGTTCGCTCACGCACAGCACGCGCTCACGCGCACACACGCCACACACATGCGCTCACGCACACAACGCCCGCTCACGCCCACCCACGCTCGCACAACACGCGCTCACGCACACACGTCGCACACACGCGCTCACGCACACACGTTCACACACATGCCGCTCACGCACACACGCGCTCACGCACCCACGTCGCACACACGTCGCACACAAGTCGCACACACGTCGCACATACGCGCTCACGCACACACGTCACAGACATGCGCTCACGCACACACGCGCTCACGCACACACGTCGCGCACACGCGCTCACGCACACACGGAAAAAAAATCGTGAGCCCCTTAGGTCTTTGCCCCCCCCCCAATCCAAAACTGCTTTCGGCGCGCCTGCGTTCCGGTATACCAGACCGTACCCAGGGTACGTTCCGGCAGTACCCTGGGGGACATAGACCCTATGAGCCTTGCGCTGAGTGTCTTTTTCATGGAGAAAAAATCTGATGAATGTGTTGATAAAATTTCTGAGTAATACAGTACAAAACATAGACCAATAAATTGTGCCCTAAACAATTTTATATTCTGATGTTATTTTAGGTCAAAATTTAAATTTTTTAGGGCACAATTTATTGGTCTACACAAAACAGTGCTATACAAAATGAAGAAAAAATATATACAAGAAAAAATGCTTTCATTAGAGCCTATAAGCCAGTTCGTAGTTAGCCAAGGGGTTGTGTGACGTCACGGGTCACCGGGTCATTTGTGACAAAAATCGATGAAATCTCTAGTGCGGCGTGCGATCTCGGTTCAGTACTTATATGTACACGTATATATTCTGTGTACGTGTACACGTACGCATGTGTACGTGTACACGTACGCATGTGTACGTGTACACGCACGCATGTGTACGTGTACACGCACACATGTGTACGTGCACACACACGCACGCACCTGTACGTGCACACGCACGCACGGACGCGCCTGTACGTGCACACACACGCACGCACGCACGCACGTGAACGTGCACACACACGCACGCACGCACGCACGTGAACGTGCACACGCACGCACGTGAACGTACACGTACACGTACGCACGCTCGCACGCACGTGTACGTGCAAACGCACGCACGCACGTGTGCGTGCACACACACGCACGCACGCACGGACACACGCACGTGTACGTGCACACGCACGCACGCACGCGCGTGTACGTGCTCACGCACGCACGCCAGCACGTGTACGTGCACACACACGAACGTGTACCAGTGGCGTATCCAGCATAGGGCGGAGCCGGCGTACGGCCCCCCACCCCCGTTTGTAGGCCCAGAAAAAAATCATGAAGTGTTTTAAATCCTAAATTGCAGGGTTGTGTCTAGGATTGAGATAGTGTCATCAGACATCAGAATATGGCCCACAGTATGCCTCAGATTGCAGGAAAATGGCTTAAATATTTCACAATTTCCTGGGGGGAGCATGCCCCCAGACCCCCCTAGCGCTGCCTTGCCCGCGCCCGGGTTGTCTTCGGCAGTCCAGGTACATTTCGCCCCCCTGTTCATCCATTTCTCGATACGCCACTGTGTACGTGCACACGCACACACGCACGCACGCACGCACGTCTACGTGAACACGCATGCACGCACGCACGTGTACGTGCACACGCACGCACACACGCACGTGTACACGCACGCACACACGCACGTGTACACGCACACGTGACGCACTCACGCACGGACGTGTACTTGCACACGTAGATGCATGCGTATGTGTACTGTATGGTCGAAATACGAAATATTTTGTCACAAATGACCTGGAAGAATTCGTGGCTAAGTTCGCGCATGCGCAGACTGTAACTACGAACTGGCTTCTTATGTGGGGGCAATTAGTAAGCGAAGATGAACAGGGCAATGGGGAGTAAGGGCGGATCTCGGATCAAGAAGAGATATTTGTGATTAAAAATGGTCGAACCTTTTTCGTAAGCTCTAATTGTAGAATAAGGCTAAATACACGCAAACAAGGTCACGCACACCGCATAATCGCACGCACGCACACTGCTTAATCGTATGCACGCATGCCACATAAACGCACGCACACACGCATGCCCAAACACCGCATAATCGCACAATCGCACGAAAGCACACCACATAATCGCACGCACGCACACACCACACACCGACGCACGCATGAGAGGAGGAGGGGAAGCTCGGCTGTGTGGTAAGGTGTAGTTTATTGGAATGCAACAGGACCTAGGAGCTGTCGCACTGCGATTTCCGCTAAATGTGTAGAAGTTGAGCAGTTGTGTAAATTGGCGATTATTGGCAACCGGTCTTAATCAATCAGTGCTAAAGTCCAACCCACATCATTAAGAACGGGACTACACAAACCCAACACTATGATAAAAAAGACCAGCAGGAAACAGAATGCTACAATATATACTGTATATTTACACACACAAATTAGCATTAACAATAAACTTCACGATCATTGCACCTTATACGCTACCAGTAATTAACCCCAGATTATTCGTGTAGAAACATTGTATTTACACTCTACTCCTCTATTATACAGGCAGTCCTCATTTGATCGCTCTTAAAACCTTTTCTGTAAAAATACCTTTTAATGAAACTGTGTAATGAATTATTCATAAGTTACACCAAAAATGAAAATTAATGAGCTATCAGCTAGTGCAGTTATGGACGAAGCAAGTAGAAATGCATAGCCTTAGAATAATTAATTGTTACTAGGTTTAACCTTAGATGGTACAAAGTTAATAGAAATTTTTTTTTACGCAAAATAATGCAAAGTGAAGCTATTTTTCATAAGCATAGATATTAGAAGAGAGGTCAGGCTGCAAGGAATTTGAACAAACCAAACATACTACATATGTTAATAAGTTAAGCCTATTATTTTAAATACGTTTTGAAAGCAATGTAAGAATATATAAACTTCTTCGAAATAGTTTATTAATGAGGTGAGTAACGATGAACGAGAAGATAACAGCAGATGGCAGCACCTATGACTTATGACTTCGTAACGAAGCAATGAGCAATGTGTACGTTCACTAAAAATTTTCAGGGACGTAACATTATAACAACATTAACTGGGTGAATTCAACGAGGATCATGCATAGGTAAAAATGGCAGGGAAAAACATTTTAAGCAAGCACATGTCTATAGATTTATAGCTTTCTATAAATCTAGATTTTTACCTCAAAAAAACAACCCAACGCTTAAAACTCATAATCGCCTGAGATAATTGACTATATTCCACCGTGTAAAACATGTTATCTAGCGAGTAAATCCTGCTGCATCAAGTAAAATCAATGTTTCATATGTCACTCAAGCCAGCAATATAATTATTCACTATTTTTAGACTTTGACAGATGCTGCCACCTAGTGGCATTGAGAAAATCAACTACTGCCAAGTGACTAATTTTTCAAGGTACAAACATCAACAGTCACCTATTTAGTAACCGTAAGTATCAATACTCATATCTCTTCATCATGATCCAACCAGCATAAGTGATGATCACATGATGCAGGGCCGTTTGTTTAAGGACCCTCTGTATTCCACCAGGATGGCTGTGATGCTGTTACACCTACTTTTCTACCAGTGCTAGTTTTGATGTGCAGTGATGTATCCTCACTAAAGTAAACAACAGTAAAAACATGTTCAGCAGCAACCACATGTGCATACACACTTGCACGCATGCACACACGCACAAATGAAACACAGACGCCCCAAAAGGCACATGCATTCAGATGCTATCTCTCTCTCTCACTCTCTCTCTCTCTCTCTCCCTCTCTCTCTATCTCTCGCACTCAATCTCTCTCTCTCTCTCTCTCGTGCGTGCTCTCTCTCTCTCTCTCTCTCGCACGCGCTCTCTCTCTCTCTCTCCCTCTCTCTTTCTCTCTTTGCCACTCAACTAGTACTTCTCTTTCAGACTACGATGGTTCTCACCTGGCATCGATTCTCATCAGTGCTAGTCCGAGTGAGCAAATCACACCTCTCAGCTTCCCCACCTGCTTTCCTGCAGAGTTCGCTACGGCTGCATCTCCCTCTGGCTGTTCGTCCAAATTCCTGAAGCCAAAACGAGGAGAACTAAAGCCAGCGTTATGCTCGGTGTGGAGCACATGCTTAATAACTGTGCACGTGATAAGAAACTAAACCACGCATAATTTCCACGTAGGACCATCGACAGATAATTAATCAAAAAAGCAGCCAAGCATCAAGGAAACTACTTTCCTGAGAGCTTGTTTGCGTGAAGGCCTCTTTACTGAATTCACACTAATATAAAACATTGTAATCTTGCAAGCACTTAGCAGTGTAATTGTTCAAGGCAGAAGTCTTTAGAAAAAAATCCTTGTGATTGTTTCTTACCCAAAAGAAAGGTATTAAATCGAAATGCTTGTAAGCGTGAGTTCTCATAAGCAAAATGCTCGTAACATGGGGGGACTGTATTTTTCTTTGTGGTCCTACAGTGGCTTAAATGGTCGCCCAGCTGAGCCGAGCGTATAATTGAATTTCGGATCGCAGTCAAAACTGCTAGTATAACAACTATACTGGGACTTACTCGGCCAGAGTGAGCGGCATTAGCCGCTTCCTCACTGCACCAGTATGCTGTGTTCTAGCTGTCAGCTCCTGCCCTATGTAGCACCCTTTACGAAAGCTAACTGCCAACCAAAAAATGACAATGATGTTAGACTGTCATGCAAGAACAGTGTCAATGAATCTGTATAAGTGTACGAATAAATAAAGGATTTTCCTCACTATTCAAGTTCCTGATCTTTTTATCCCCACCACCCTAACTAAACAAAGCCATATATATACACCACAAATCCGGCAAACCAACACACGCAAACATCGGTAACACGGCAAATATATACTTACCTCCATTTAAATAGTCAGCATTAGCCTCCAATGGAAAGCATTTTCCTGGAGGATGATTGACAACTCCCTCGCCAACACCCAATCTGTACCGCAACTTCTCATACCACTGGGGATCATCTGCCACCTTACAGTTTGTCACAACGTCGCTGGCTATAACAACACGTACACTTTGGTGTGAGTACGGTAATGTTGAAAAAGCTGAAGACACACAGTCATGGAACCACCTATGTCAAACATGTGCTCTGTTACTTTGGATTGAGAAGAAGACACGTTTGAATAGGTACACCACATTTTGTGTGCTGCTTTAATGACTACTGAGCCACAGCACTGGCTTGACTACACTATAACTAACGTTGTCATTCCAAGCATCAGTAACCTTGGTATCAGAGTTTTCTAGTTTTCTGATCAAAGCTCGCATATCTTACCTTGAGTTCCTGAGGCAAGAATGAGCCGATAGCCAAGATCGGGTGCTCGAGGGTCCATGTTTAAAAAGATGTGAGACTTGTTGGAAGCTACTGTCACAGACTCATTTGGAGGCGATGCCACAGCCCATACTGACATTTCATCAGACATAGAAAACAGATCTGCCTGCAATGATACATCATTACTGATCATTTATTAATTTACGGGCAATCCTTTCACATTGTACTTAACTCATACTCTACTCTCACACTGAGGATAGCTTTGAAGAGATTGAACACTGCAGGACTATCCGATGAGATTTTTCACATTTTATTGATGTATAAACATACAAACATAACAAGGTAGTGTAATCTAGGAAGTTAGTTTTTAAGCTCTAGCTTACAATACCAGGGGAGCAAAACATGAATTTAAATGTGATTGAAATTAATGTAATTCAGAAAGCAAACCTTTTTCCTAAGTTTGTATTTTTTCAAATGTTTCAAAACATCATCTACTTGATCTTTATCAGTCTCTAACAAATAGTTCTGTCCCTTGTCCTTGTCTTCTCCAAGCCTGTATATAATGATATCCCACAGAACCCGACCCTAAAAAAAGAATAGAATTGCACGGGCTAAATTAAACTGCAACATTATTCGTTTAAAAAGTGTATACTCATTGGCACTAACAATCTCGTACTTTGTGCTACTGAATTAGATGGGTTCCTGGCAATTACGCAAGAAAAAGATGAGATAAATGTCTAACTGCACAGCCTACTGTAGCAGTAATTGGTATAAAATGGGTTGACTGCGATAAAATGACATGGGGCCAGCACTTTTCAGATTAGTGTGATCGAAAAAAACATTAGCTTCAAAATTAAAAAAACATTTAGATAATAACTATTTAAAAATGCTCATTACCTGATTATTAAGTATTAGAGAGTAGAGGCAGTTATTTATTGTTGGGCAAATGTCAACATTCAAACAGTCCATGTCATTAGTAATCAGGCCTTGCAGTAATGCCTTGGCGTCCGGTCCAACTACTCTCAGCAGACCTCGTTTTTCTACACATTGACTTATAAAACCTGGTTAAAAACAAAATTAATATATACCGTCAAAGTAAGACAGATGACGTACAAGTGCTCTACAATAAACAGTTGTGATGCAAAACTAAGATCACCTTAATTTATCTACAGGGACACACAGTAGCCGCGTTCACACGTAGCAAGAAATCCGGTATTTAGCGTTCACACGAGGCCCAAGAAATACGGTATCTAAACAGATCCGGTATTTGATGTAAATACGAGGCTTCCCAGACCCCGAATAATTTGCCATGCTTGAGAAATACCGAATTTCTTGGACCGCGCATTTCCTCGTGTGAACGCTAAATACCGGATTTCTGAAGCCACGTATTTTATAGACTGGTCCGCGCTCGACAGTTCTAGTGTAACGCGAGTGGAACTGTCGAGCGCGGACCAGTCTACGTATGTTATCGGCAGTTGGTGCGCATTGCATTGTTTATTTCGCATTGTTCGCTTGATTGTTTAAAGCAGCTCGCAGCTCGCAAATACCGTATTTCTGGAGCCGCGAATCAGCGTGTGAACGCTCGGCAGCGTATTTGTCTCAGATATGGTATTTCGCAAATCCGGTATTTCAGAAATACGAGGTCTCGTGTGAACGAGGCTAGTGTTTAAAGGTATCATCGACGGATTAATTGACACCAGCATTTTTGTTGCTGTGACAATACATACAATCGTACTATGATTTATATGTGCAAAAGCCATTATTTTTTTGACTGGACAAGCGTGTACATTGACAAATCAGCTGCTTACGCATCTAAGTAAAACAAAATATGAGCTACACACCAAGAATTGAAGTGTCCCAAACTTCCCCTGCCAATTATCAGTGGGTTGGATTCCTTTGCAAACTAAGAGTGCCTGAGCAAGAAACTATTGTCTGCTATAGGTTTGGGATAAAAATAGGAACAGCAATAGGGATAGGGATAGCAATAGGCAAGAGATAGAGATAGGGATATGGTGGTGGTGATTGGTGATGATGTTGGTGACAATTACGATGACGATGATTTGTGTATTATTGTCCTAAAGCTGGATTATGCAGTGACTGTATTGTTACTAATATATAATAATTAAAATAATATTGTTCACAACTAAACTGCATACACTGCTATAGATGCTGGAAGAGAACTGAACTGATCTTAGCTCTAGAACTATAGCCCTTCCCTCTGCTACAGGCGAGAATGCTACATGCCTGTGGCAGAGTGAAGGGCTATAGTTCTAGAGCTAAACCGATCTTAGCTCATCAAGCTTGCGAGGCTTCAACTCCTGTCCGGCAGGCCTGGAGGCAACAAGACTGCAGAGTCCATAACTGTAGCTCTTCCGGTGTAGCACCTTCGCTTCTACTTCTAGTACAGAGAAAGCTCCAGTAGGAGTGAAGAGGCTACACTGATAAAGCTACTGTCAATGTGGCTAATCGTGGTGTATTACCTGCATCACTTTGGGCTGAACTATCTTGCGAATTATGTCGATATGAGAGAAGTGCCGTCACTGGCAATGGTATCTGCCTCTCACAAAATGGAAACGAGAAGGCTCCAACCAGTGAACCTCTTTGCCTCGAACACCGTACTAATCTAGTAACTATATGCAGCGTCATCTCTGAGGCTCTGTAAAGAAGGAGCTATTATATTATATACTGTAGTGATGGGAATCGGCTGGAATTTCATAATCGATTATCGGTTTCCCTTAACCGATCGATAGTAATCGATTAGTAATCGGATAAATTCGTTAATAATAGGCATAGATTTTAATTTAATCTTACTTTGTATATATTTTCGAAGTATAATAATTTCAATATTATCGATTATTTTCCTTCACTATCTTTTCTCGGGGAAGCATTTCCCAGTCATTTGACCAGCAGCATTACTGCGACCTACACACAAAACGTATTAATTATTATGCGAGCTTCAATGTCTGATGAGCGAAGGTCTCTCGCTAGCTGTAACCCCTACCCATATTCGTTCAACAGCTGAGTAGTAATAACTTATGTCTGACGTTGCAGTCATCCTCTACACAGCAGCGACCGGAAGCCAACAACCAGTACAACAAACACGAGAGACAAGTCGCAGTAAAACTGATCTCGAGTCGGTTTTTTGCCGAACAATACCAGATTTACGCGCCATTATTCAGGGGCATAGAGGCATTGTGACGGGACATGCGGTTTTGGTTTAAATAACAAGGTAGACAGCCGACTCATATACTGCAAAGAATCGTAAAAATAAATACGGCGAAAATTTATTATTTCGAACTAAATACTGCAACATGGCTTTCAGGCATTCACCAATTTGTATCGCTCTACGTATGTTTCTTTATATCAGCTACTGATATTCATATAACCCTTCATTCATGATGAGTTTGTGCACTAGGGCAGGCCTGCGAGTAGTAGCTTGCTGTGTTTGCAGATGAGCATTTGTATCCGAGGCAATTTAACGGTAATAAAAGCAAATAAGAATAGACACGAAATGAGTAGAGAAACATAAGACTGTTGGGTAGCAAATAATTTCGTTTTACATATTTTTTTTTATTGAGACGTTCCAAGTGCCTGTGAACGGGTTTATTACAGCTACAATGACGAAAGCTGATTGAGGCCAAAAGGAAAATATCAAATAATGACTATGCACTGCGGCTGCCCGTCTATTTCCTTTCATCCGTCCTCTTATTCTCATACATCAAACTCTCTCGGACAACCATTAAAAGTTTTAAACAAACATGATCAAGACTTGTCTTTATTATAGTAAGTAATTGTTTGTGTTCTAATAGTGTAGGCTGTGTACCAAGTTAATCGCCTGCCAATGGAATATCCTCTCCAACACAACTGTAACAAACAATACGGAGAGTAGAATTTCATCTACGGATAACATCTGTGGGACAGTGTCAAACCAAAAAACAAAGACACTGTCCAATTTGTCCATGTCTATAAGTACACTAGTATCGCTCTGCAATCAGAGTTAACAGTGATTCATGAAGGTGTCCTCTGGACTACACACTGATGCACTTCTACTTCGCTACCAATACATGTCCATGTTGCGATTTAGTAATTTTTAATTTATTTTTAATTTTATTTTTTTGGTATTTTTGATAATCGATTATTTGTTTTCATAATCGATTATCGAATTTGAGACTATAATCGATCGATTTTCGATTATAATCGATCATCGGACATCACTATCAGTGCTCGAAATAAGCGTTGTCCGGTTGTCCGAGACAACCAGAATTTGCGCCGGACAACCTAACCAGTCTGAGACATGTCGCGGTGGACAACCAACTTACCAAGAACCCTATCTCTAACCTAACACTAACTCAAAACCGACTCGGCTATCTTATATACGCGTGGTACCAATTAATTATGGTGTATAACCTTTTGGCTTTCAATATTTTGCATCTGAACTGACAATCAATCCCATGCAACCAACTGGTATAGGCTAGCTGCACAATAATGTTCAGTTTCATACTTCAAATCCGACTGTTTTCTAGCTCATCAGAAATCTTAATCGTGAATTAAATCGTGAATAATATAAAAATATGGGACCAGCTGCTATTTCCAACACTGGTATAATATCATATGTCAGGTTTTCTGATGTATGAGAGGTGAACTCATTTGGAACCAGCAAACCAGCAAGTTTCCAAATTTTCTGGGGAGGACCCCATACCCCGCCTGTTTTTCACCCCCCTCCTTGGAATCCTAGACCCGCCACTGAACAATTACATATTTTGGGAGCAGAGACCAATGAGCAAAAATTCCGCCTTTTCGCATGCGCCCAAAACAAAGATTGCAGAGCTGAGAGGTAGGGAGCCGTAGGGTGTGGGAGAGGGAGGCGGAGGAGCCAGTGAAATATTTAAGTCATCCATATTTCGCAGTTCGCTGTTTTTGGCCCCCCTTGTTAAAAATCCTGGCTACGCCACTGTTTTTGGGTGTTTTCTGATTATATTATTATGTGATTGAAAATAGGAGATTTGGGATTTTTTTTGGACAATCAGAAATTGTTGGGCGGACAACCCGATTTGATGCCGGGGTTTTCCGCAGGACAACCACTTTTTTTCTATATTTTCGAGCACTGACTATTATATAGTATATAATTATTATTATTAATGTTAAAGTTAATTGTTTTAATATGGCCCAATAATTTTTAGGCCATGGCTACGCGACCGGTTTCGGACTAGGAGCCGCTAGGCTACGCGTCCGGACATCCATCTCACACAGTGATCTTGCGACACGTACACGCATGATTGCAACTTGGGACGCTCTGCTGATTGCCGAGTGTGTGTGTGTGTGTGTGTGAGAGAGAGAGGGAATGTGTATGTGTGTGTGTATGCGTGAGATAGAGAGAGAGAGAGAGAGAAAGAGAGCTAGAGGTGTGTGTGTGTGTGTGTGTGTGTGTGTGTGTGTGTGTGTGAGTGCTCAG